TGACTTTCGTTGATTTGACAATGATAAACTTACCGAAAAGCCGTGTTATTCTCGGTAGCTAATTATAACGTCGGTATAATCCGCCATTTTATTTGAGTCTGTTTGCTACCTGACTCTGCCCGGTGACGTCATCATGTGCGCTATAGAAGGAGGTCTGTGATTCGTTGACTAAAATCGCCGATAGTGGGTCTCGTTGAAATCTCGTTACATAGGCATCGGTTCAGATGTATGTAGGGCGGAATTAAAAAAAACACGAAATCAAAATCAAAGTAAAATGATAATAAAATAAAAAGGCATTAATAACAAAAGTAATAAAAAATAAAATTAAAATAAGTTTATAGCCAAAATAATTAAAGCCCGTACACTACATCAGATTTTAATCAGATTGTGTCCCACTGAAATGGGCAGTTATTGATTTTTTTGCCAAAAATGATTACTCGTATCCAAGTAAATTTGGGATATTTCTTGTGTTGTAGCCATGCCCACCTATCCTGAAACGGTCGACTGTTTCTGGATTTCCGACTCTCGCCAAAAGTGCGCCACCAAATGCCAAAATGTGAGAGGAAGTCATACTCTAAGCCGTAATAACACTGGTCATTCAGTATACTTTTAAACGATATACATTTTTCGGTCAGCGTTTTTTTTTTCTTTTGTCTATTTTATTTTTTTGAGAGAGGGTTTTTAGATGTTGTGTTTTGGGCAGTTGCAGTGAAACGTATAGTCATATTGTAAGTATTCACACGTTTCTCAGATTCTTTTTTTTTGGAGAAACTGTCCTCGTCCATGAAAAAACAACTAGGTTTAAAGAGAAATGCCAACAACATAAACCTGGCGCAACACTTTTGAAAGAAATAGATTCTGGACCATGATCACCGAGGCGGATTTCAGAAGAGAGAGAGACGTCCGGCAAGTGTTTCAAATGAGTTGACTTTTTTGCGATCCTGATTATCGTTTTATAGAGACCATTTAGTCCCTGTTAAGTAAAAGGTAGCAATAATTTTGACAGTGACACGAAAACGAAGCGTCGGACAAACAGCCCTTACACACTGCTAATTGTTTTCATTTTCGAAGGCTAAAAGTTTCTGAATTGTTTGGTGATTGGTGTTGAATGTCGAATTCACATCTGTTCTTGTTTTACCTCCATGCTTGCAGCTTGATCTGCATAATAATTTATGAAATAAGAATCCGGGCTTGGTCAATGTGTTTCCACCAAATAAAGTTTTAATATGATGTTATAATTATGACAATCACGCCATGGATCACGCTAACTCGAATCCACTCTGAATTTATCTGTATGTTTGACGATCTTGATTATTTTTGTTATCCAATTAAACGCCACTTTTAACGCACTTGCCCTCGTCGTGACCTGACGCGTTCACCTATTTCAACAAAATTTCAATTTATTTCCACGCGGCTGTCATTTATTTAGTAACTGTGATTTGTCGTTTTTTTAATTATTTTATAGTGATCACTATAGTCTAATGTTTAGAATGTCAAAATATTTTTTTATTTTAATTTTGAAAGTTTTACTCAGACGATCGATGAAATACAACAGTGTAGTGACGTGCCTAGTAACCTGCTAAATAACGAGATAATTCCGACGTCAAATTCTATTTTGTCCAGCGACAGTGTACAAACGTGCGCCAGTGACAATCACGGTGACCAGCTACACCAGAACGGACATATTTCGCATCTAACTCAACCCCATGCAACAAAAATTGATACTTTGTGATCATTATGGTCTATTCCTCTTCGACGAACAAGTACATAAGTGAAAGTTCAGTCAAAGACAAGAAAACTGCAAGAGAAATTTGCCTTATTTACACATATCGGCAATGCAAGCTGCCATGCAACTTCCCCTTCTGACGTCACAAGGAGAATTTCTGTATGCAAATAAGAAGCTAATGAGGAGCCTCGTTTTAAAATACACAAAAATAAAGTTGCCGTAGATTGAGTTTAAAATACATTTTTTCACTTAAAAAATAATTCATATTTAGAAACATAAAAATTAATAATATTTATGTATCAATGGATAATTTTAGGCGTGAACATAGCAGCCATTTCACAGGCACTTTAATGACTGTTTATTTAACAACACCCCCCCCCCCATTCACACACACACGCACAAAATAATTGTTCACCTGTGCCGATTACCTTTCAAAATATCACTGAATGTTGTTTCGGGGCTGTCTAGATGTGACTTTTGTAAGTCCACAGTTATGCCACCATATCTGTCAACTTTTCCATCAAACAAAGTTGAACTTGAACATCTTCTTTTCAGTGTACCAACGACGAAATAATAAATGTTCTGCGAGCGAAGTACTGCAATCATTGTAAATTCTTTTTCTAGCGCTAATTTAGCAAATTAATATAACTAAGGTGACAAAATGCGTTTATCAGTGGATTATTTCTTCGATTAAAACTATTTGAGAAAAAAATCACAAAAAAAAACTATCGAAGCCGCATGTTTCTATGAGAGCGGCCATATTGGATCTCGTTAAATTAACTCATCGCGAGAAAATACGTGACTTCTTTTGGCGACACACACCCGGATGTCCGCCATCTTTGTGCCATCAAAACAAAATTGGGTTCGTGATTTTGTGAATTTCTATTACGCTCTCTTGTATAATATATCGACTTTCCCCACTTTGTAAGACAAGCCGGAGGGACAGAAAACAGCAGACATGGATCAACCACCAAAATATGAAGAGGTGAGGCTATATTTTGGTCAATTACATAGAAAATAGAATGTTTTTATTCCACAATGCAAATCGATCGAACCTTCGATTTCAGGACAATATATCACTTGCCCATATGACTGTCAGATGTCTATATCGATTTGTGCTATAAATAAACATAACATATGATTATAGTTTATACAATATTTCTATCTATACAAGTAATCAAGTATAATTATGAATTTTAATATAATTATGCGAATTTTTGCTGAGATATCACAATGCTTTTATTATATATTATTGCAATACAGTTATTGAAATTAATAAAAAAAAAGATTACAAATCATAACATAATAATATATAACAGTAAACCTCTATCCACACTAACCAAAATTAAAACATTTAGGCATGTACTGCATGTACGAATACCGGAAGTGGATATTGCAATGATTTGTGGGATATATAATTACACAAGCATGCA